ACTGTTCACTTAACCTCCCTCTTCCATTCTTCTCCTCTTCCCTGCAAACTGAAAATAGGCAGGACAGGGGTGGTAGGAAGAATCTGAGGGAAAAACAACTTGGAATGGATAGGAAAGTGGGGCCCAGCCAAATGTTCAAGCCTAGAAGCAGGGCTTGGGGGCCGGGGGAAGTATCACTTCCTTGCCATCTTCTCCCTTGGGCCTCCTCCCTCTGGCTATAGTTCTGCTCTCGGTGACACAGCTTTCTCATGGAAAGCAGAAGTGGTCCTCTCCACAGGTCCTCTAGCAGCCTAGCTTCTCCATTCCCCTCACCCTGAGGGGGTTAAGATTAACAGGAAGAGGGAGGCACCCACAAAGCCCAAAGAGAGGGCAGACAGCATGGCTTCAGGTGGAGGCATGGTGAATGCTGACCCAACTCTACAGATGCCCAAGAAGGAAGCAAAGAGGTCAAGACTGCTCCCACTGTATGTTTTATCTAGAGAAGGGAAGGAGGGAATTTAAGAGACCTGTTCACAAGGAGCTTCCAGTCAATAAGGTTTGGTATCAATAAAGGATGGTGAGCACCATAGGTGAAGACAGAGGTGGGACACATAGTCAGTACAATATTTGTCTTTGAAGGATGAAGTGCAGAAAAGGAAATGAGACAAATTCGAAGACCCTCTGAGCTACACACCTGTGAAGACTTCTCTTTTTTCTACAACTCACTTTTCTACTACTCCTTTTTTCTACAACAGAAGAGTCTAGACCATTAGGAAACTGCCACTCAAAGGCACTGTGTACATTTATTTCCTTGTGTGTGGTTTCATAGGACATCATTTAGGGATCTCAGTATGTGAATAATGAATGAATTTAAAAGAATGAGGCTAACCTCTCTACCCATAATTGGCCAACTCAGATCGTATCAGTCCCTGATTTGCAGAAGTATTTGTAAGATGGGAGAAAAAGAGACCGAAAGGGAAATGGAGAAGGAGTATTGGAAATATGTTGAGGAGTAATAAAACACAGTGAAATAAACATCACTTTGGAAGTGTCCTACTACTCCTGATTATAAATACAATTTCTAAGAAATAGCTTTGTGGAAAATAAAGAATGTTGCCAGCTTATTCAGTGAGAAGGAAGAAGACATATAGAATCAATGTGAAGGAGAAACCCAAGAATGAAGAATAAAAAGGTATTATAGGCCCCTGAACTTGTCAGCACAGGTAACCCTTCTTAATTTAATTATTTAAACTTGCTATTCTAAGTTATAAGAGGGTTTTTCAGCTAATTCAAACCAAAAACAAGAGAAGACCCAAATCTCTGAACTGGCCTGTTACAAAATTTCTAATCCCTCATTGGTAGATTCCCATACAATTTTCTATACTTGGGTGTCTCCCTCAAAATAGGAACTTACTCAAAATAAATTTTAGAAATGATGATAGAGTACACTCAGAGTTTCACAACGTAAGTGTCAGGAAACTAGACAGTTGTAAGAAATATTTCGGTATTTTGGAGTGAAAAAAGTAACTTCCTCTTCTGCACCCTTCTCTTCACTAAACTGAAAAAATGGTGGCCTATGCATTTTATAGAAATATTGGCTTAGGAAAGCATCCTATACCCAGCAAGTAGTCATAAAATGAAACATTGTTCTACCATGTGTCCAGTGGGCCCCAACTCCTAACTTTATGCTTTTACCTCAAGTGATGTTCTCATTGTGAAAACAATCACACAAAGGCTGGCAGTGTTTTTGGAGAGGCACTTCTAGCAGAGAGAGGGTGGAGGAAGTCCTTTTGTCAAATATACCTTGGGCCATTTTGAATTAACCAATGAGGTGACTAAGGTAGTCACTAGACCCAATTGGATGGCAATCATATAGTTACCTTAGCAATTAATAGAGATCTCTCTTCTTATCCCTAAATATAGGAATCAATGCTGAAAAACACAGAAATTCATCTTTAGAAGACAGTATTCAGCCTGATGGACATCTGCTATGTTCTGAGCAGTTAATTCAATTACCAAGTGATAAAAGAGAATTATTTCATGATTCTCCATATCATCTCTAAAATGTGTTTGGTGGATTAATTAATGATCAACTTGGAATGCCCAGACGAATTAAATGAATCAACGTGGTCTGGGTGTGGAAGATCCACATGAGGATTGTTACCAACTGCATAAAAAGGGAACTGGAGGGAAAGAGCGTGGGCTGTCGGTTTTCTAGGAGAAGCTTGCGGCAGGTGGTTTTCCTGATGCAAACTTGGCTGTTATGGTCAGAGGAGGAGCTCAGGGCCACACTGTCACTGAGAATGGCTGCTGTTCTTGTCAGGGGTGCTCTGATCTTCACTGTGAGCATCACTTCCTGGCTCCAGTATAGATCCCTTAGCCTGGTGGCACACATCCTTCACCCCACCATTATAGATTTTCTGGTTTCCACCACTGGCCTTTGGGCCTTCCTGGTGTAGATCCTCCATATGGACAAACATGAGCTATTTCCGTGGGCTCTAGGCCACTGGCTGGATTCCTGGAAGACACTGACTTGGAATTTAAGTCTTTAGCTGAACTCATGTGGGCTATTGCTGTGGGATCCAGGCCCTTGGCTGGATTCACTGGGTCTCTAGTGTATAGCTAATCTCTTGCACTCCTCTGCATTTGACTTTTTGGGTGAATATTATAAAATAATCCTATAAATTTTTTGCCCTGTATTAAATCTATTCCCTTGCAAACCCTGACATAACAATATATTAAATGATAAATTGCTTCTTTGCTTTTAAGTAACTGAGTGCCTATTACAGGTTCAAAGGAAGAAAAATAAGAAGAGCCAGAATACATACCTACTGTCCCAGACTGTCTTACTTAACCCCTGAATCTCCCTGTGTATATCTGTCCCTGCCTGCTAGGACCCATGATAAGTTGAAATGAAGTAAAAGATCAGGAAGTTTCAGAGTCCTGCACAAGCAAAGGTATTGCACACATATTGTCACAAACTGCCCAGGAAAGATCTGACGTGTCACTGAACAAAGTCCTACTAATGATTACATTGACCTTTCAGTGTTAACTCCAATCCATGTATCACAGATATCATTAGTACTGGGGAGCTATACTCTGGGCATGTGCACATGGAATCCTTATTTATAAATCCCTATGCATCTGTATATAGTCATATCTTTTCATTTTGCTAAGTTACAACTCTACATATTCATGGGAATCAACTGGATTCTCAAATATTTTGGTATTTTATTCCTGAAAACAAATACAGGTGGGACGAAAAGTTTTGAAAGTCATTGATTCATGAAAATGCTGGTACACTTTTCTGCTAAAAGTAAGTTACTACACATACGAAGAAGATGGATCCTACAAAGTCACCACATTATCTTTGCAACATCAAAGATACTAAGATGAAGTAGAGGGCAGCTACCTTAGCAGGAGACATTTAATGCTCCTCATTAAGATCTCTTTCCCAGCAATGCTGATCAAAGAATGGTCCTGAACAGATTCCCATTTAGAACACTAAAGCTGGTCAACACATTCCCTCAAATCACCACTATAGGGACCAAGCCAGAAAGGGCCAGAAAACCTCAAATGCTTTAGGAACCAGCTCAGTTTCTTTTTTTTTTTTTTTTTTTTTTTTGTTTGTTTTTGTTTCCGGGGATCGAACTCAGGACCTTGTGCTTGAGAGGCAGGCAGTAGAACCACTGAGCTAAATCCCTGGCCCACAGCCCAGTTTATTCATCTCTAGATGTCTTTGGCAGGTCTCTCTTCTTCCAAGTAATCTTCAATGAGTATCTAGTATGTGTCAGGCACTTAGCTGTCATTTTGGACAAGGCAGGTAAGGCTGTTGCGATGGTGCTTCCCTTGTAAGTGGTGAATGCAGTTTATACATGCAGACAAATCACAATCTAACTACCATTCCGCTGTGAATGAAACATTGGCTCAGTAAATGGTCCAAGAGGCTTATCCCAAATCACAGTATGACACAAGGACAAAGAAACCAACTCAGGTTTCTTGGCTTCTGTCTTCTCTTCCTTCATATCTACTGCTCTCTACCCTTCACTCAGCAGAGTTACCTCATCTCTAGCCAAAGAGGCCCAAAGAGCTCTAATAATCCACTTAAATTTCTTTGAGTCACAAAATGTTTGCCTCCTTACCTTCAAACTAGAAAGGAAGAACTGACTGGATCCTCTAGCTGGATCCCATCCTTTACCAGCAGGGTGATTTAGGAAGGACTTAGTGATCTCTGAATGGTTTGAGCCTGTTCCCCCAAGCAAATGCTACAGGCACTGTCTGCACAGAGAAAACACCCCTACAACCACCCGGGAGCAGGCAAGAACAAGGAATCCAACATCGTTAGTGGCTAGTTCTTAGGGGCATTGGATTTCTGGGTCTGCTGTGGGCAGCAAATTCCCTCACATAATTACTAAGCAGATTTTCCAGTAAGGTCAGATGTTAAATCAAACATGTAGTCTTAGGTTTAAAATCACCAAAACACAAGAACCAAGAAGCCTCTTATTCATAGATAAAATTCGTTTCAATAAACAATAACAGCAGTGTTTACAGAATGCTCAGCGTGTTCCAATGTCTTTCTGTGTACTAAATAGCCCTGGCGGGAGTTAAGCTCTCTCAAAAATGAGAAGACCCAAACAAGGAATTTCACACAGCTGGGAAACTGCAAGGCCTAGATTCCAACCTGGAAGAAGTTAGATGGATTTGGAAACACACACACACACAATGCAGACACAAGCACAAGCCCTGACACAAGGGCGGTGGGGTTGTTCGAAAGAGCATTACAAATACATAGACAGCACGGAGACGCCGCCACAGCCTTTCCAGATAACTTGGGAAAGTGGGAACTGGAGCTCGCACCCTTCCCCCAACGCGAAGGAAAGGCAACCTCTGAATTCTTAAAATAACTCCCGCTTCCTCTCGGCGAAGGCATTAGACTGCTGGGCTGCAGGGTGAGAGCAGCCCGGCTCTGCGGGAGGTTGAGCACCAGCCGCTACTGAGGCCGCTCGACGTCACTATCTTACCCGGGGCCACCAAAGAGGGCAGCGGTCGCTGGCCTCAGAGAGGACAGGGCCGAAGCCCATGCATCATTTCTGCGGGACTCGGCGCCCCGTAGGGAGACCAGATCGTTCACTCCGAGGAGTTTCCCTAGGGATCTCTATCGCGCGCCCGCTCCTAGAGGACAGAGGCTTGCCCTGGCGCGCAGGGAGTGGCCCGGGCCGGACTGCACCAGCCTCCCGCGCCTTCCGCCACGCCCCTGAGTGGCTCGGCTGTGGACACCTGCGGAGCC